CCCCAAAACCCCAAAACCCCAAAACCCCAAAACCCCTCTTTAAAATTTTTCAATTGAATTGAATTAACCTTAGTTTTAAATTCAAAAATTAATCCATATCAATTCTAACAAAACCAAGATCTTCAGTCTCTTCTATTTTGAGTTCCCAGTCTGATTTGATCAACAAGTATGTGTTCATCACAGTGTTGCCAAATATCCCAAGAATGTAGCCTAGAATGATGCCTTGCAGCCCCATTCCAACTGGAAATGCAAGTATAACTGCCGAGGGTAAAGTTATCGCACAATGTGATATAAAACTAGCAACGGAGGATTCTATCTGCTCACCGATTCCTCTGATGACTCCTCCTATCACAATCTGGACGGAATCAAATACGATCATGAATATGATGTAGTACAGGCTATCCATAAAGAGCTGTGTGACATCTTTCTCTTCTGAAAAGACTCCAATGGCTTCTTGAGGGAATAGTAGTAGGTATAAGGATGTCATAAGGATTCATATGAGCGCTTCAATGCTCATGATATACTTTAAAAATTTTTGAGCTTCTACTTTTCCAAACTCTGCCAATGCCCTTCCAATGGCTGAGCTCGTTGCTTGAGACAGTCCATAAGAGAAGTCATAGACAAAGTTGTGAGTGTTGAAAATAATAACAAGTGTTGCGAGTTCAGTCACTCCAATCCATCCTGTTAGTATGGTGAGTACTTCGTACATCCACCATTCACAGCAAATTATGAATCCAGATGGCAAAGCTAGTGAGAGGTAGCTCCACCATCCAGTGAAAGCACCTTCAAACACTGGCAACTTATTTACTTCTTTTAAGATATCCCTTGCAAAATACATTAAGAGAATATAGTAAATCATGATTGTTAAATTCCAAACAATAGATCAAATTATGACTGGATCTCCTTCGACATATTTAAGAAGCATCCAAAGAACTGAGATATGAAACAGAGCGCCCCATAGTCAGTCTTGAAGAAGAACATTAAAAATGCCCCATTGCTTGAATGTATCTTCTCAATGTGTCGAAGTGGACAAAGATAAACATCCCTGGAATCTGAAAGATTAAAAACTTTCCAGCAACGATAGCAACTTCTGTATCTTGGTCTAGGAAAATCAAAATCTCCTTTGATGATAAAAATAAGATAGCGACTGGGATGAACAATACCGAGTTGATCACCCTGGCTCTATTAAAGATTAGGTTACACCCTTCGTAATCTCCAGTACCATAATATTGTGACACCAAAGTATCTATAGCTCCGTTGAGGCCTTCGAATGCTCCAAAGACAAACATGTTGATAAACATCACTCCAAGACCTAGTCCAGCGACTTGAACCATAGACCCATAATTACTGATCATAGCCATATTATAGATCTCAGGTAATACGCTGAGAACTAAAGAAAAGATTGATATGAATGCTTGCAAGTTAAACATAAGGATACTTGGTCTTCTTCTGACGTTACTTTGAGTCTAGCTTTGAATAGCATAGCTTCTCTAAATCTTGAGTCTCTTTATCCTCCATATTTATGAAGAAGGGATTTTAGAGAAAGTGAAGAGTGGGAAATAAAGGGCGGAACTTGGAGGAGTAAAAAAGAGAACGGGGATAGGATAGGGAAGTTTAGTAGAGAAGAGGTGTAGATTTAGAGGAGAACTTATAGGTCGAGGTGATTTTCATCTCGTTCTCTGTCCCGTCAGTAGAAGGCTTCATTTTCTGAAAAGAAATAATTATTACACAAGGATTCAATGCTTTCCACTTAGATTGGGGTTTTGGGGTTTTGGGGTTTTGGGG